AGAAATGTTAAAGTTTATATAATTAACACAAAGCATAACTGCGTAACGTGTATGTGACATGGTGAGTCACTGGTGTGGTGAGTCATTCACAGGGGTCTGGAGAAACCGCTGCTGACGGTGGGGGAGGTGTGTGTGTTTGTTTGTGTGTGTGTGTGTGTGTGTGTGGGGAAGCGCTCTGGGTCTGATAATTAAAGCACTAACAATAACTATGAAATATTCAAATAACTCGCAATATTTTAACGGTCAAACGCGGCATACGCATGTGTTTGGAGTTCAAATTGTGTCTTAATATGGCTGATATGGAGACACCACCCAAACACTGGAATTATGAGTAACGTTAAGTCGCTTAAATTCATAGCTGCACAAATGTAAACACTCATTACACAGGATAACACACACGTTAAAAAAGGAACTAGCGGTAAACAAGAAGACCCTGCCCCCATGGAAAACAGAAACTCACCTATTTCATTTTCGTTGACAAAATCTGGGAAGCTTGCCATCTAAATCGAAGCGAGTCTCTTAAATCGGAATCTTCTTGGTTAACGAAATACAGGCGTTCAAATGAATGCGTTGAACAAACGGAAAAGGCTGTATGTCTGCGCGTGCCTCCGGCGAGTCAACTGCCTGGGAATGCGGAGCGTCTCACGTCGACGCAACGCCTGACTATATTTACAAACACGACTGTTAGCCAAAAAATATTATCGTTAAAGTTCAAATTGAGTTTCATAAAACTGATATTTAAAAGAAAGAACGTGAGCCAGTAATAGTCTAGTTCCTTAAATCGCGTGGCGCTCGGCTTGAATATAGCGTATTGTAATGGCTGCGTGCCTCCTAACGATTCGAACTCACACACTGATGGGCGGGACACTCTAGCGACGTCATAGCGGTTGCCGGGGCGACGGAGGATCACCGATTTCTGATTCGCGGAAATCCGTTTACGCGTGGCCTCTGATTGGCTGTTCTCTCGAGAATATGAATGGCATGGATTCGTGGTATACGTGCTTTAAAGGAGTGTGACGATGAAGCGCTAAATGAATCCAGTGCTGCATTTCAATGTTTATCTCTGAAGGAGCAACAAAATCTCCAATTCGGTGATGGAATTGCTTGAAAGGTGTCAGGAATTGAATGCAACATGTATTTCGTTCTATTTTTGGTCTGTTGTTCCTGTTAATGGTTCATGTCGTGATAAATCCCACTGAAGCGTTTAGAGAACAAAGAAAGTTAAATATCAGCGATCTGTAGTTCAGAAACTCCTGTTGAAGAGTCTCTGTAAAGCTACGATGAAAATGTAGCTGTATTCAGGGTTATTTTAATAATTGTATTGTTATTCAGAATATATGTTATGAGAACACATCTGTTAATTTTTTTGGTTGCACATAAATAGGACTGTTTTTATTATAATACATTTATATTATCTTATTCTATTATAAAAATGCTAAATTGTTAATTCATACTGACATGACCATGCTGACCACGAGAAGTGGTCGATCCTGGAGAAAGTTAGAATACTTTTCTACTACTGTGATGACCCTTTCAAACAAAATGGGTGACATTTTTCACCCAAAATCTACTGCACTGAGCAACCAAGCAAGAAGGTCATCTGCCAGAAAAATGAAGGAGGCAAGTGAGTTTTACAAAGTACTGAAATAGGAGAAAATGGCCAGATATCAGTCTCTTTGGCATTTCACAGCTTTAGAAGAGCGGGCTGAATCCAGCTACATCTATGCAGAGCCAGTCCAGCCCCATTCCTGTGGTTGCTAGAAGCCGTATGACAACCTGAAACATTTTGAAATAAAAAGTGGTCCGATAGGACTGAAATGTAGGAATACGACCTCAAAGAAAAGACATAAAAGTCAAAATAGTTATATGCCTTTTTCATCATCAGGAGAACTTGTATGTTGCTTCCGAAGGCAAAATAGATGGAGCCAAAAGCAGTTGGTTCCTGTAAAACCTGCTGCTGCTGCAAAAAAGTGACACACAGCAAAACTTTTGGAATGGTTCGGAAGAATGATTGGTATTCTGTTCAGTAACAAAAGGGGGGGAGAAATCACAATCTGAATGTGCAATTCATTGTCATTGTGAAGTGACGTGAAATATTGACTTAGAGGCAGTGAAATATAGTTAGACAATTTGTATGCTAAATTTATAGTTGTGGGAGGAGGTTAAGATTGTTTCTAAAGTTTCTGGTTATGCAGTAAGGCTCTTAAGGCCATGCTGTGTTGTGAATATAGTTAAAGGGTGGCATGACACATACTAAATAGACTTTATTCACAAACAGCACAGCCTTGAGTGCCTTAATGCATTTATACAATGTTTAGTATATTCAAATATTTTTGTTGTTATGGATGTTATGGTTTAATTTATATCAACGATATAACACGTGCCAGAACATTGTTGGCACAGTTCAGATAAACTGATAATGTATGATGAATGCAGTCTTACAGCCCTGTTCTCCTTGTTCTTTATATGTGGTTTCAGCTATTTGATTTTTTTCTACTGAAAAGTTTATATCTAATGCAAAATGTTGATTGAAAAAGAGTTCTGGAATATTGTTTCTGGGTCAAGAGAAATGCATGTTTATTACCAGATCATTTTGTGTTAAGGAGGAAAACACCTCAAGGTCAACTTAGTGTGTCATAAAGATAAGCGTGTTAGATACAGGAGAGGTTTTTGTTTTTGCCACAGTGGCTCACTTGAGGCTTGATAGTGAAATGTTTTTATTTTGTCTTTGGCTGATAAGTGATGTGACCATGGAGTCGTTGAATAGGGCTTTGTGTCCGGTTTCCTAGTAATTAATTCCAGGAATACCAGTTCACAGATAGATTAAGGGAAGGTCAATCAACTGTGTAATGAACCAAAAATGGTAAATCATTTATTAGACAAACGTAAAAAACAAAATCGAAAATGCATCGAGGAAAAACACACCCATTATAAAGACATGTGCTGCCATCTACTGGTTGCATTTATATAGAACAGTGGTTTTCAAACACTTTAATGCCATGAAACCACAAATATGATCCCCTTATGATAAAATGGCATTTGACCTGTGTGTGTGCATACATACACACAGACACACATATATATATATATATATATATATATATATGTATACTCATTTGATCAAAAATGAAGTAAAAAAAAAAAATATATATTATTACAGTTCAAAATAACTTTTAATATATTTAAAAATAGTTTATTCCTTTGATGGCAAAGCTGAATTTTTAGCAGCAAAGATCCTTTAGAAAAAATTATAATATGCAGATTTGGTGCTTAGATATTATAAATTATTATCGGTAGTTATAAGCTATCTATAACTAATTTCTGTTGAATACTTGACTTTTGGTTGGGGGAAATGACACGGTTAGACAGAGTACAACAATTGTATTATTTATTCCAATAGCTAATAAACATCTGCATTGTAAGAAAAGTCCAGAACTTGAAATAGCGATGTGGAACAATCACATTGATTTTGGACAAGTAGACAAAGAGTCAGTTTAATTTGTTTGAGAATCATTCTTCAGAAGAAAGTAAGGGGACAGAAATATTTCATATTAAAAAAATGGCCAATTTGCATGTACAGTTACTCCCTTCTAATTCAGTATAAATAGTACATTCCACTAATTGTTAAGAGCCGCTCAAATTCTTGTGGCTCATACACAACACTCTCTGAACCCATCTGCCTGTGATTTCAGCCCTATCTGTCCCATACAAAAACCAAAGATGGAAAAAAGTATCTTGAAAGGTATCTTGATCACACAAGCACATGTGATCAAGAAAAGGAACTTGGCTACACACATAAAGGAGATCAGCTACACAGTCCTTGAATTCTTTCATATCAACCTCACGATGGGTAAACAGATGGTGCTACCTTGCCTATTAAAGAAGCCTCTGCGCTAACAAATTTTCAGTTTGAGTTGTGCTTTTAGCAGAAAGTGAAATCAAAGCAAGTTCCCTGAGAGGATAAAATATGTTAACAAGCAGGATGGAAGGGAAAATCTCACACAGTAATGCCCGTGAATCACAGACGACAACGGTACAAGCTGGAAACATGGGCCCTGTGCTGTATGCGTTATTTCTCTCAACAAGGTTTTGCTCTTACAAAACCTTTGTTCTTTCAATTCATATCATTTTCAAAACAGATTACAGACTTGTTTTTTGTGTGTGCCATCAATAAAGATCTGGAAAAAACTAAAGAAATCATGCAAATATGCACACATCAGCACACATTTCATAATGGCGATTACACTTCACAGAACGTGATTAGGTGGTATACATGTCATTAATGATGCTTATTAATACCTATATAATTTGTAATAATGGAAAAAATCAATCACATATTGATGTGACATAGACATGACTTCATATACACAGAGGCGGCCAAAGTACACAAGTCCATTACTTGAGTGAAAGTACAGATACTGCTGGTCAAATATTACTCCATTACAAGTAAAAGTTATCAAGACAGATTTTTACTTAAGTAAAAGTACAGAAGTACTTGCTTTTAAAAGTACTTAAGTACCAAAAGTAAATTTCCTTTTTTGTGTCAATGCAAGTTTTATTATTGTTGTATGTAACACTTGCAATACCTTTGAAGCACCTTACAATACATTACACCTACTGAATACACTGACTAGCTTGTAGTATCTTTGGAATAAAGAACTTTTAGAATATTAAAAACCTATGGGGAAAAAACAAAACAAAGAAAAATGATTATTTAACACCCCTACACCCCCACAAAAGCAGGATGGGAGTGATCTCACACAGCTCTGGACACATCTATGTGTAGCCATTCATCCACATTTGAACTGAGTGGACAGTGAAACAGCTGTAAATACAGAGTGATAAGGAAAAAAAAAAACCTCAAACCTGCTTTAAAACCCAGCAACACAACTGTAGCTGTATAACTTTACAACAGCAGCACTGCTTTAACAAAAACTCAAAACAGCAAGACTTATTTGACATCAAAACAAAATTTTTAAAAAAGCTGTCTAATCGCTCTCGTGGTACTTTCATGCAATACACAGAATGGTCTGTGCAGTGCTGCTTCAGTCAAACACCTTTTGTGTTTTCTTAGGAGATGCACAACAGTTCTTCTGTGGCTTTATAGGTAATATTTTCACTTACACAATTTAGCAAAATCAGACAATATTGTGTCTAATATAAACCACAATATTAACTTCTTATTATTGAATTGTTGTAAATAAATATCACATTTGGAACTGGTCAGTGCTAAAAAAATGCTGGGAAATCACTTCATGTAGCCCCAAGAGTGATTACTGATAAACTGTCTGAAAAAAATACAGTTTTAGAGAAGAAAAAAAATCACCCACTGACTTTCAAAGCTGCTAACGACTTTCTACTTTGAGGATCTTGATAGAAATGTAGTGGAGTGAAAAGTACAATATTTGTCTTTCAAATGTAGAAGTTAAAGTCATAAGTTTCCAGAAAAAATAATACTCAAGTAAAGTACTGATACTCAAAAAGTGTACTTAAGTACAATACTCAAGTAAATGTACTTAGTTACTGTCTGCCTCTGCATATACATAATGCCCTTTAAATAAAACTAGCAAGCTCCTATAGTCATATCGGTAGATTTCAGGAGCTCGAAATGTATTAGTAACATGGTGGAATCCAAAAAGCCTAGACACATATAATACTGTGCTAGATGGTTTCAAACTGACAGATGTAACTGTTGGACAATTTGATGTACATAAAATGCATACAAACAAACATCAATGTCACACAGTGTCCTCCAATGGGCTACTTCACACTGAATCAATACTGGGATGCACAACCCTAAAAGAAACATAATTGCACATTCTTATTGGTGGATCACAATTAGATCTCTGACCTTATGACATAGTCACGTGACCTACTTGGAAGCACAGAGTTAGGGTAAATCATTCAGTGTGATTTGCAAAAAAAAGCAAAGCACACAGCAGCGTTTTGGTTGGTTCAAGGAAAGCATGATTCAAATTGTTCTATGTCTGTTCTGTTCGTTGCGAAGATTAAAAAAAAAAAACGTCTAGTTGACAACTATACTGACTCAATCTAATCACTTTTCACCAAGAAACAGTAAAAAAAAAAAAAAAAAAAAAGAATTTAAATTTTTT